GGCCCTACGCCCGCTCGGAGAAGAAGGATGCGGAGTAATCCGGCTGCAATGAGTTGCTCCATGGACGAACAATGATTGAGGGGTATCGCCGATCTAAGCGGGGTTAGGTCGCCGAAACAACAGCCCTTTGTCGGGTAAAACCCGAGTCATTCCGGTACGTAGAACCGGCTGTCTTCGGAATTGTTTTAATTGTTTTAATTTTTCACGTTGTCCGGCAGGGAATTAAAAAGACTTAAAGCCTTTATACATTAATGTGTTTTTCGCTGTAGTAGTTCTTTGCAATCCAAGTCGAAAGTCATTCGCATTCCGCACTGAATACTGATGTGTATTTCTAACATATTGGATGAACTTAGTTAGATATCTCGGAGCCAGATTCTGTAGAGCAGTATTCAAAATGTGGCTTTATTATTGTATTGTAGATTTTTATTGCTGTTAATGTGTCCAATTTATTTGGTATCCTTTTAAAGAAGTTTATTTTTTTGCCGTCTTTTTTACATAGATAATCTACATGGTCTTTAAATTTCAACTCACTATCTATTATTACGCCTAAATATTTAATGTTGGGTGCTTTCAGAAATGCATCAAGCCAATGCATCAGTCTCTTTTATTTCAAAACTATAATTGATGGAAATCTCAAATATACGCAACCACGCTTAAAAGACGAATTGGAACTTAGTTGCGTAAATAAGTCAATTCATTTATATATATTATAAACAGAATTGCACCCAAAATCGATCCTTAAGGCACTCCCACATTCACAAATTTATAATTAGATTTCGAACATCTAACTTTAGTTTGTTGTCTACGATTTGAGAGATATTGCCTAAACCACTGAACTGGAACGACTTCCACAAAAAGGAGGTTATCAGTTCGTCGGAATATTTTTTTTTTTTTTTTTTTTTTATGTATGTTACCGCATAACTTTTCTCGACGTCAACCGATTTCAATAATTCTGCAACGGAAAGGTAGTGTCTCAGGTCCCATACTAATTTGGTTTAGATCCGATCATTGGATCATGAAATATATAGATATATATATATTTTTTTCAAGTCCGTTTTTTTTGCTAAAAATTACTTGTCCTCTTATACCGTACATGTATAACTTTTTGAACAAAATTTCTCTGTCTATGGTTTCAAAAGTTCTTTTTTTATGTCAAGAAACAACTCCACTATTTTTGTTTTACGCGAAGAGTTCTTCCACTCACCGACAATGTGATTTATTGTACTCTCACACGAGTGATTTTTACGAAAACCCACTGATTTATTGACAATATATTATTTGATTCTAGGTAGGTTTGCACCATGATAAAAAAATAGGAAGGTAGAACCGCTGAGGAGAATTTTTCAAATTCTTGAATTTTTCTTCTCGAAAATAATCTTCCTTGAGTTGTGTTCAGACCTTTGTGGGAAGTAATTTTTACAGGTATAATACCTATGTGGGTAGCTTTAAAAAACTTTTCGGCCGATTTGATATTTTCAACTTTGAGGAGAAGGTCACCGGATCTTAATTCCGTTACAACGTTGTTCTCGTCGCAAATGTATTTTAAACCTCTTTCGATTTGAAAGACATTATATGATGATAATGGACGAATTTTTTCATCAACAATTGGACCGATAGATAGCACTTGCCACTAAGAACCGGGGGATATGATCGTCGTTTTGTTTTACAACAGATAGGGGTACAAAGTCACTGAATTTTGGACGTTTCTTGGGAAGTTGCAAATCAGGATCGAGTAGCCGAAACCTGTCGCTTTCGGGTGGTTCAGCCCCCTTCATGGTGTCGAATGTTCACTGCGGCACTGTTTTGAGTTTTGTTGGTTTTTACTTTTCTTTGAGTTTTGTTGGTTTTTACTTCGAATAAGTAAACTATAACAACCCTGCAGGGAGTGACGTTAGCTTATACCTAACTTTAGTCTGTTTACGCGAACACTACTGCTAACTATTAACTGTGTATTTTGTCCGAAAAAAGCTAACTACTTTTGTGGGGCGATGGCCGCAAAAAAGTCAGACCTGGATACCTCTGCATTACATGTCAACTAACTTGTAACTAACTACTTTTGGACATAAAATATCAATAAGAAAAACAAAATATTTTTTTGGTTTTTTACTTTTTTATTTACTTATTTATTTACTTTATTTTATTACATTTCATATTTGTTTACATATTCTGCTCTGGGTGGCCCCATATTCGAACACCGTCAGACATAACTTCAAAATGATAGTATAAAATTTCGATCTTCCTTTTATTTGTCCTGAATATGAAAAAGAATCTGCGAAGTTCAGAAAAAAAGTGTATTGAAAGTAATTTTTGTATGAGGATATTTAATAGAAACTTGTAAAGAAAACCAACTCCCGATTGCGTCTGCATGACTCCTGCACGACTTTACAATTCACTTTAAGTTGGTTTTGTCATAGCTAATTAAAAGTGAGGTATTAATCGAAATCTCGCCAAAAAGCTAACTATAAGTTGGTTAGTTTTAACAATTGATAATTTTTCACTGCAGGGAACTGCAACTATAGGAAGTTGCGGTAACTGGAATAGGGGAGACTACGATAGTTGAACGCAAAGAGGTAAAGAGCGCGTGAAATACCACGGGACGTGTTATCGCGGCGGTTGCCCACTTTGAACTGAATAAAATATTTATTAAGTTTATTTGATATATCGTTTCAATCATTTATTTCTTCATTTTTATAAAGTATCGATTCTATTTCGTTTAGATCTTTGCCCAGTGTTAAGTTTTTCAGTACTCTCCACATTCCTCTTTGATCCGCCGCGCTATTGATTTTCAGTTTAATGTATTTGTTTTTTGCCTTGGTTAATTCATTTTTATAAGTGTTACACACATTTTTATAATTTCCCCAAGAGTTGATGTCATTCACAAGTCGTGCTGTTTGATACGATCTAATTTTTTGTGCTTTTAACTCATGATTCAATATTTAAAGGTTTGCTCATTATTGACATTAGATTATTACATAACCTCACTTTTTCTGCATGCCAATTGCGGCCATGCATTTTGGGGTAGTAGAAAAAGGGGGAACAGATTAGGATTAGTTTTACTACGTTTTCGGTACTATTTCCAATACATACATACATCAGTGGACCCCACACCGGTTAAATGAAGCTTGCATCAATAAAATATTTTCCAGTAAACCAGTGTAATTAAAGTCTCATTTTTTCGCTCAAAAGAAATTATTATTAATTAATTTTTATTTTTTCGATCAAATATATTGATTTTAATAATTATTATTCATTTATATTTTTCTACCTTAAAATTATTATTTGCAAAACTTAAAGGCCACACGGTCGTACCACACACATATGATGATGGTTAAAACTTAAAAAATAAGGACTATTTTCCGTCTTTCATTTATTCATATTAAAACAAATTAAATTGTACCGTTATCTTGATTTAATTATTCTTAAATTCTACTAAAAGTTACATATTGGCCCGTATGGAATTTTATTATTTTATTATTGTATTTTTTCCTTAAGTTCTGAAGTACGTAGTTTTTAAATATCTTAACTTTAAAGGAAATTTTATTACGACCTTTATTTTCGTTAACATTTTAAAATTACATTTCTGAATTTCATTTCATTTCATTTCATTTCATTTATTAATAAAATCATTAGCACAATAAGATCAAAAGAATGATCTTTTATAGCGCAACAAAAAATTCATAACAGCACATACATATAACTAAAACAGCAAAAATTACTTAAGGCTAAATAAAAGTAACATAATATAATTAACAGAGTAGTATTTTTAAGTGAGTTCTACAATTCCAGGACATATACTTAAAATAAGACTTAATTAAACAAGTACATAGAGAGCACATCACAGGGACTGAAGTGAAGCTAACGGAAATATGCATACAGAACATTTTTAGAGTTGCTTTTGTTTAAACTACTGCGAATATGGGATGGAATAGAGTTCCAGATGCGGATAGCATTGACAAAGAATAGCCGTGCAGAGCTGAGATAATTGTAGGTAGGAACAGTCAAGTCCTTTACTCGAGTGGATTTGGGGAACATTAATTTTTCATATAGATATTTGGGTGCCTTATCTGTCATGAGACGAAAAAGGAATACACAATTTCTAGCTTTAAGATATTCAGAAATTTCGCAGCCAAGTAGGCGCGTTCTCCAAGCGGAAATATGTTCATATCTTGCTAGCCCAAACACATAGCGCGTGATCTGGTTAAATACTACATCTATTTTGTGAGCTGATTGGGAATCTAACCTGCTGTAGACTACCTCAGAATAACAGATAATTGGCATTATAAGTTGGATTGCGAGTTTACGTCTGATTTCTATCGGTGTAAATGGAGCAGACATTCGTAAATTCCTTAAAGTATTATAGACTTTGCCTACAGTTGAATTCACATGGTCAATGCAGGTAAGGCCTGTGTTGATAATAAACCCAAGGTTAGTTACTTTTGACACAAATTTAATTGGTTTGCCACCAATGTGTAACGATGGAATAGTTGCTAGGTTAAGACGTTTCTTACAAATAGGTAAAACAAAACACTTGTCACAATTAAGACAAAGACCATTTAACTGTGCCCAGGACCTTATAGACATCAGTTCCCTGTTGAAGCTTGCGCACAAATTAGCTGAGTCCTCCAGAGGACCTGACATGTAGAGCTGGACAACGTCCGCATAGGCATGCATGTTGGCGTGCATAGAAGTCCGAAATATATCATTAACAAACAAACTAAATAGTAGTGGTCCTAAGATTGACCCTTGTGGGACACCCGTGAACAAAGGCCTTTGTTCAGATATTTGAGATCCAACCTTGACACGCTGAGACCTCTCTTTCAGATAGCTACGCATCAGTTTTACTGCTGACTCTCTAAACCCAAAGTAGTTTTTTAATTTAAAGCACAGTAGTTCATGGCTAACTGAATCAAAGGCTTTAGAGAAGTCCAGCAAGCATAGTAGTGTTAAGTGGTTCTTGTCGAACAGTATTCTAATGTCATCAAGTATCTTTACCATTGCAGTAGAGCAGCTGTGATGGGGTCTGAATCCAGATTGAAATGGGGATATAAGGTTGAATTTACCGATGTGGGAAGAGATTTGTTCAGATAACAAAGATTCGAAAACTTTAGACAAGGCTGGTAGTATGCTGATGGGTCGGAAATCACTAGGGCTGGATGCGGATTTATTTTTGGCTACAGGAAGCACAGTAGCAATCTTCCAGGCATCGGGAAAACAGGACGTGGTGAGACTATGGTTTATTATGTGTGTCAAGGTTGGCAAAATAATCGGTAAGATTACCTTCACAAATCTAATCGGAATGCCGTCCTCCCCGATTGCGTTGGACCTGATCTTAAAAACAGATTTCACCACATCAATCTCGCTCACAGCAATGAACTCAAACTTTTCGCCAGCAAAAGAGACCGGACAGGAGGCTACAGAGTTGGTCGTAAGGGGACAAGATGAAGGCGGAGAAGCAAAGGCAACGCTAAGCGTTTCAGGACTCAACGAGCATTCTGATTTCTCACTGGCATGGACGCGGAGTGTTCTCAGATTTCGCCACAATACATTATTAGGCAGTGAGGGATCCAGCTTATTCATAAAGAATTTTTTCTTTTCACGTCTTATAACCGAGGTAGCTTCATTCCTTATTGTTTTGAAAGCACTCCAGTTCTCATCTGTCGGGTTCCTTTTCCATATGTTATAATATTTATTGCGTTTTTTAATCACTGATAGGACCACACCATTAAACCAACGGCAGGAAGAAGACCTGTCACAGGTTCGGGTAGGGACATGAGTGAGGAGCGAATTTAATATATTTTCGTTTAGGAAACGGAGCTTCTCATTGACCGTGCTGAGACCCCAGCAAACAGACCAATCGATCTGCAAGAGGCTACTGAAAAGGTTGTTGACATCTAAGGAACGGTAGTCAAAGAAGTTAAATACATAGGTATTGTCGTCATAGTGATCAAGTTTAACGTCAAAAGAACAAAATATCAAGTCATGATCAGATATAAAAGATATTTGGTCAAATTTCAAAACAATAGAAGGATCAGATACAGCAAAGTAATCTAATAAGCTGGGACAGCAATTGCTACCATATCTTGTGGGCACCGACAAATTAACCATAGACAACCCAACACAGGAGATATCATCTATTAAACGAGCACTGGTAGAATCAGGACATAACAGGTTCACATTAAAATCACCACAAAGAATTATATGGTCATAATCTACAGAAACAGTGGACAGAAAATTAAAAAAGTCACATAGGCTGAAATACTTATAGGGATTATACACACAAGACAATAGGATTTTGGACGAGGGGCTAGACATTTCGACAGACAGGTACTCCACGCAACTTCTTTCTGAATGTGACTGCGAAACCTGTTTGGTTTTTAGGTGCTTTTTGCAGTAAATAGCAACTCCACCACCTTTTCTATCTACCCTATCAGAACGAAACAACTTATAACCATTAATATCATAATGGACACTGCTTACATTGTACCTGAACCACGTCTCAGATACACATATAACATCGACTGGAGACAATTCAAAAGTGTTCCTTACTATATCCATTTTCTCAGAATTAAGACTGCGCGCATTAAAATGAACAATGTTCAAACCCGTTTGTTGACCGCACTTGATGTTCACCATTGCACGACTACAATTGTCAATGTTAGCCGTTTTGCTGCTGGGTACAACCATGATATTTTACGCGTATAAACAAAAGCAACTTTAAAGCATAAGGGATAACAATATTAAGAACAAACAAACATAAACTGAGATGTGCCAACTTTACAACAATGAATACATAACAGAGGGAACATAAAAACAAAATCTTATACCTAACGAAAGCGCGCTAAATCATCTTCGCAGGTTAATTTGATAGCGGGGCTATTTTTGTCTTTTTCATTTCTTACGTGCACCTCGCCTCGCATTGTGTATACCGATACCAGCTTACCCTCTCTGCGTAGCTTGATAGCCTCTTGTAGTAAGCGCCTTTTCTCTTGAGTGAGACTCTCAAATATGTGGAAAATTCCATCCATTCCAATGGAGCTTAATGACACTGCAGATCTAACTCGCCTGCGATACTCCCCAAAAGCGCGAAGGGTGCGATTGCGATCATGCGGGGAGTGAAATTTAACGACAATCACGCCGTTGCGGTTGGCAGTGGGGCGCGTTCGGAAGATGTCGCGAATTTGTGGAGACATGAAATCGATGGAGAGACAAATCTGGTTAAATATGCTCTTTAGGTTCTCCCCATCCGCATAAGGCACACCAAACACAACAGCATCAGCAGAAATATCAGGAGTAGGTTTTTGTTGTAGTGCACTAGAAACTTGCTGTTGTAGGTAGGCAATATCGCTTTCAGCCTTCTTCATATTAGCTTCCATCAAAGTTAAGCGCGTAGTCGTCTCGGCCACTTTCTCAGTAAACATAGCTATCTCATCATCTATTCGCTTTGTTAATTTGTTCTCCAGCTCTGACAATTTCTGAGAGACATTCTCAACTAGCGGCAGCAGATTGTCCGTTTGTTGCTGTATTTTCACTTCGAGTTGCTTTAGTTTTGCAAAGACAGCAATAAGGGTGATGTCTTCATCCAGCTTTACCACTTTAGCAGCAGGGGACTCCTGTCCCCGCAGGGGACGTTTGTTCGCTGCAGAAGAGGTCGATGCACGAACAGACATAGCGAAAACAAAAAAACTTCTTAGGGCACTTTATAATTATTATTATTTTTATTCCCAGAAAAGGTCAAGGCTTCAATCAGGGTAGCGAAATATCACCAGCACTCTCAAATATGTGTGTATGCGGAAAACGGATTGTTTATTTGTTTGTATGAATGCGCGAAAGCGATTTGTTTATGTGTTCAATATGAAAATCCAAGAGCAAAGAAAAACACGTCTGCACAGCACGACAAACAATGTATAATAATTTTGGCAGGCGCAAAGTTTGTTTACTCTAAGATAGATTATTTTGTTATTAAAAAGAAGTTGACAATCTTTGCGAGCCGAAACGCGAGATTCCAAAATAGCTATAGTTATATTATAAAATAATTATGCGTTTAAATTGTTAGACCAAAGTGCATTATCTTAGCCATCCGAGGCACTGCTCCAATAATCAGTTGGATATATACAGTATATATTTTACCAAAAATTTACTTAAAGAATCACAATTATTGGAAATTATTGCTTAAATTTTCCAATGAATTTGAAACGAAAAGTCAAAGCAACAGCGAAACAAAGAAACAGTTACTACGTTTGTAAGTAAGCTATTTGCAAATAAAAATGATTTGCGAATACCTAACTAACTGTTTATTCGATGGTGAAAAATTCTTTTTTAATATTGCCTGATAATAAAAAGGCAATAATATGACCATCGAAAATGAAAATAAAATTAAATATGGCAACGTTTTGATTATTAAAAGGCAAAAGATGACCATCGAAAATGAAAATAAACCTAAGAATGGCGACGTCTTTCGCTTATTTGCAAATAGTACCACTTATCAATACTTATTTGCGTGATTTAGTTATTTGCAAATAAAAAAATAACTCAGCGTTTATACAGCAAAGTTTACCATTTTGCAAATTGTTATTTGCAAATAATACGTTCGAATAAACGTAGTAAGTGAGTGATATCTACACATATTTTTTTCACAAAATTGTCTGCTCCATTTTTTGTTCCATTTTCCCAAAAATGAAATTGGAATGAATAGAGTAGGCATTACTGTAACGCTGGTATGCCGAAATTGCCAAAATTACAACAACCACCCTCTAAGTGACAACACATTATTATTTCACCATGATTATTAGCCGATTTTGTCAAGAGGGAGCGAGAAAACTGTTTTCTGAGCAAACCTTTTATTATTGAATCATGATTTTAACTTACGTAGCTTTGAGTTAAACAATTTATTGTGATCCGATGCTGCTGTATGCGTTATCTTCCTTCTTGTATTGCTTATAATCAGGGAACGGATTTTTAGGACCTAAAAACCTATAAAAAAGGTAAAATAAAATAACGAAATAGGCTGAAAAAGGCAAAATAAAATAGTAAAAAAGGCAGGAAAAGGCACTAGGTGTTGCAAACAAGGTAAAAAAAGGCAAAACAAAATAGCGAAAAAGGCAGGAAAAGGCACTATGTATTGCAAAAAAAGCAAAATAAGGCACTAAAAAAAGACAGAAAATACGAAGAACAATAAAAAAATACATTTATTTTAGAAATGTTTATATTACAAGTAAAAAGAGAAAAACTATGAACTAGTTTCATTATAAATATGAAATATTTGTACTTTGAATCTTTGACCATTTTATCCTTTCGAGTTTCTAACTCATAAAACTTTAATCTGTATAGTTGTAGTAACATTGAACCACAAGATGCATTTTGAAGTTTTCTGGCAGCATTTTCATTCGATTTTCGCGAAGAAAAGCCTTGAATGTACTAAATGTGCGCTCGACGTAAGTTGATACAAGTGGAGCCCAATTTAAATATGGAACGTTTGAAATGTTCATATTATCAGGAATAAAGGCGTTTTCCTCACCCTTTATAATTTTATCCACACCCCTTATTGTCTCCAAGCCTTCGTTAGCTGAGAAAACGGCTTTGAATTTTTCCAACACCAATTTGGCAAGAGGTCTCTGCGCTTCTATAAGCCGCATGGGCAACGTGTATATTTTTTAATCTTAAAAAAAAATTGTAAATGCTATAATCACTTTTTTAAAGGTAGAAAAGGCAAAAAAAGCAAATATCTTAAAAAAGGCAAAAAAAAGGCAAATATCTTAAAAAAGGCAAAAAAGGGCAACATCAAGTGTGTATACATGGAATCAGGGAAAGCAAAATCGTGGACATTCTTAATCGAATATACTCTATCTCTTTAGCAGAAAAAAAGGCAATTTTCATAAAATCCGTTCCCTGCTTATAATTAAATCTTCCATGCATTTTTCGAGTAGAATTGTGTTTTGGCTTACATTGTATGAATCGACGAAACTTAAGTTTTTATCGATCAGCATCCTGTTGAATTCAGCCTGATTATAGTGGAAATATTCGATTACTTTGTGATTGGTTTTTATTACATTTTCCAGTGTGGGCTTTTTTAGAGTTTTCAATTTTGACACTTAGATTGTATATGTTTGTTAAGACGTAGTCAATCAACGTTCCCAAATTTCTTGTTATTCTAGTGTTCTCATTTACTTTCTGCATAAGACCGTTATCGTGTATTATTTTCTATAACTCGCGTTTATAAAAACTGTTTTTGGACCAGTCAATATTAAAATCACCAGCTATTATAACATCTTTATTTGTTTCCATTATTGTTTCCAGTTTATTACTAAAAATGTTGCAAAACTCACGCTCAGAGCTATTAGGCGATCTATATACTCCCATAACATACAATTCATTACTGTGTACCATGCATTTTATCGTCAACAACCAGGCCTTCAAGTCGCTCACTAAACAGTCTATTATATTAGTTCTAATTTCCTTACGCGTATATATAGATAGAGATAGATAGATAATTAATAGAGGCATGCACTGCGACCAGCAGGTCTATTGTGCCCTCAACCATTTACAGTACCTCGTCTAATCCTAGAGAGCCCAAAAATTTGAGGAGATCCCCAGGGATTAGCGATTGTATTGCTTCGTTACTTGGCCAGTAGTGGCCCAGGTACCTCTCCCGTCTTCTCGCGACCGCCACGCATTCGCTAAGCAGGTGCACGGGAGTCTCCTCAGTCACGTCGCAGAAACGACATAGGTCGTTTGACCAAATCCCTAGCTTGTGTAGGTGGCCTCTCAGTCTGCAGTGACCCGTCAGAAAACCTGTTATAATCCTTAGTTTTCCTTTGGATAGATTGATAATTGCCCTGTACCTCGTAAGGTTGTAGCCTCCCAGTAGGTGTTTTGCTTGACGTAAACCTGTAGTGTTACGCCAGTGTTGATTCCTTTGTCTGTTCCTTTCTTTCCTGAGCTCCTCCTTGATTGTACTAGGTCCAATCGCTGGGAAGGGCTCAGGCCCTATAGGCGACGAGGCGGCCGCCATTCTAGCTAGTCGGTCCGCTTCCTCGTTGCCCGCAACTCCTATGTGTCCTGGTACCCAAGTTAATTGGATTTCGTTGTGCTCCGCCAGGCTGTTTAGCCTATCTATGCACTCAAGAACCAAGGACGACTTGACCTCAAATGCTGAGAGGGCCTTGAGGGCCGCCTGGCTGTCGCTCAATATAAAAATTCTCTCGTTACGGTAATTCCTACGTAGGTTAACCTTTGCACACAGACTGATGGCATAGACCTCCGCCTGGAAGATACTCGGGTATGCCCCCATAGGTACCGAGAGCTGTAGCCTCGGCCCGTAGACGCCAGCCCCAATGCCTTCCGGAGTCGTCGAGCCGTCTGTATACCATTGCAACGAGCTCGATTGGCTCAGCCTCTCCATGAGAGAGGTGCTCCAGGTCGCCTTGGTGCAAAGCTCTATTTTGAAATTCCTGTCAAAGTTAACCACCTTAGGCCTGTCGTATCTGGGGAGTAAAGCTAGCGGAACTTGGGAGCCTAGCTTTTCTCTGTTCCTTAATGATATGGTTTTGCCCCTGCCAAAGCCTTCCCTCGCGAAAATTAGTAGAGTTCGCTTTGCAGCCTGTTCTATGGTAAGGTGCAGCGGCTCGAGCTCGAGAATCACCTCAAGCGCTGCCGTCGGACATGTGCGCACTGCTACATAGGTGACTATTGATCTAACTATCATGTTATACATCCATCTCAGAATCCTGGGACTACAGCCCCAGGTCTTCCCTGCCAGGCGTTTGCATACCATTAGTGCCCTCGTAGCTTTGGAAGTGACCGCGTCAACATGTGCCTTCCACAGAAGTTTAGAATCCAGGGTTAGTCCCTGGTATTTAACTTCGGTGGCGACGTTGATGGCGACCCCATTCAAAGAAATGTTCCTCATGCCTGGAAGCGTATATATAAGTACGCCGCCAGTTCTTCGGGAGTTTGAAACACGATTAAAGTTTTTAAAGCTTTTTAATTTTATTTCACTAGACTCTACGTCTTCAGTTACATGTGTTTCTGCCAAATTATAATATCATATTGACACTCTTCTATAATGTTTTCTAATTCAGCTTTATTATTTATAGATCCTTGTATATTCGCGTAAAATAGTCTTATTGACTTTGATTGCTAGTAACCTTTTCTTCTCTTACTTTCCAGTTTTTGCACATAAATAGGACAACTTTTGCTAAATGTCACATGATTGATGTCCAGATCGAGGTTTAGCCTTTCATTTGCACAATTTATGCATATTTTGATTACTTTACAAATACACTCCTTTGATCTATGTTTTCCTAAGCATTTTACACATATTTGTTCACTTTTACATGCAGCAGCCTTATGGTCAAGTCCTCTGCATTTAAAACATTGTTGTACATCAAGGCCATCAAACACTTTACATTTCTCCCATCCTATATTTAGTCTGCAGCGATAACTTTTGGAAATTATTCCGGATCTACTTCAATTACTGGATTGTAATACATCATATCCAGTTTTTTTGTTTCATATTGCTTAATTACTTTTATATTTGCTTTCTCAATAAACTTATTTTGTTTTTTTAACAGTTTAATTATTTTCTCGTCCGTATGTTAGTTAGTTAGTTGGTTGGGTAAGGCACGACCGCTACGTATATTGTGCCCCTAGCTCATCACAACACCTCAACCAGCCCCAGAGTGT